CCCCCCCTCTTGTACCCTGGGAGGTCCCTCATAGATAGGAAATAAACCTGTATTAAAAAAGCACCCTTTATATCCTGTCATCACAGCATCCCCCAGCTGTCCCTCGGGACTATATTGCCTTGTCTCGATAGTTGTCCAGTTTCCAAACCGGTGTCTGTGCTTGCATTGACGTCAAAGGAGCAGGCTGGATGTATAAAGCCCTCCGTCCTCTCCAGTCCTCGCTCACAGGGACTTATCAGACTCGGCTCTGACCTGAGATCGCACCGGCCGATCACGAAGTTAAGCTGCAGCATCTGGAGAGAATAAAGTGAGTAGAGCGGTTCTCATTTACTCTTTTCTTTCATAGTTAAGTTTTGTTGAATTGGCAGGTTAATAAAAAAGACAAACGGTACAGGCAGAGCATCTTTAGAGATGCTGTTTTTGTATTATCTCGTGCTTAAGTGCATCCTATTAAACTATTAAGCGAATACAACAAAGTAATTCTCAGCTTTTTTTGGTCAAGTTTAATCTTTTAAAAAGTTCAAACACTTTGCTTATTTGCTTTTCTTGCAGGAAAGATAACATCATATAGTTTGAAAAATAGCCAGGTCATCATAATCCAGGGCCTTTGTTCAATTTACCAGATTTTTTACAGGCATCCGATTCTTCGCTTAAAGCCATTCATTCTTGCATGACAGAAAAAAAATGGCACAAAGATACATCAGTCGGGAAAACCGCAAAAGTGTGCGACAAACGTAGTGGTGTGATTGGCCGCTACCTTTACCTGGTGAGTCTGTGTGATGAACTGCCCGCATGCCATCTTAATAAATACCTCTGGTTGCAGGACATGAAGCCAGTCCCACTGCTCCTACTCCTCTTCTCGGTCCTCCTCGCGTCGCACCTCCGCCCCGCCGCCGGCAGACCGCGCATCCTCCCTGGCTGGCTGGATGGCAGCGGCCGCCTCCAGGCGCAGCAACTGGACGAAGTGCTCCGGCGCGGTGACGGCGGCGCCTCCTCCGACCTGCTGGACGACAGCATCCTGCGGTTTCTCCGCGAGAGACACCCGGACCCTCTGCACCTGCTCCCCCGAGAAGAGGACGAGGCGGTGAGGACCGCGGTGCAGCTGTTGAAAAGGAGCGAAGACCCGCCGCTGTCCATCGACCTCACCTTCCACCTGCTGAGGAATATGATCCAGATGGCCAAGACGGAGAGCCAGAGGGAGCGGGCTCTGCTCAACCGCAAAGTCCTCGACGAGGTCGGGAAGTAAAGCTCTATTTCTTTTTTTTATTTTAAATGCCTAATTAAAACAGCCAAACCGCTGTTTAAGTATTCAAGACCTCTGACATTCGTTGTTTTTTGTGCGCCTGCTTTCCTCTCCACATCATTTTACGCACAGATGGTGCCAATTTACGCATCGCCGCATCCGCGAGTACAACATGTAAATTGTTAAGTGTTATGACTAAGGCTTTGTTGGAAAATATGGAAATGAACTTCTCACCCCTCCACCGCCCCCTGGCTTCATCCCCACCCCTCACACACAACACAACGACTTTTGGAAAGAGAACCTGTCGGGTATCGTATCTCAATTCAACATTTGGACACCATTGGACATATGATTCGGAAATGAGCGGCGTTGGTCTTTGTCATTGGTGTTTGTGATCAAATGTTTTGATGCTTGAAATGAAAATGACAGAACTGCAGGGCTGACCTAAATATTTACAAATTACAGTTTGACTTAATTCATTCTCAAGATCTTTCTTGTCAGCAAATTGGGTGACCTCGCTGTTAATGGAGGCGATGCTTTGGATGATTTGCCCCTGCTGCTAAATACGTCTATTGTAGAGTGTATGATTGGTGTTTGGTTTGTAACCACCAGATAACTGAATGGGTGATGTGTAGAACCTTTTTTTTCAGATATTAGAAACATCTTCATACACTATCCAGTAATGATTGTGGTTCAGAGAGACTTTTCTCCACATTTTCCAACAACATATAGTGGTGAATAAAAAAGAGGGTAATCACTGATCACCAGTTTATGATGAACAATCACCAAAATACAAGGTTTCTCTTTTTCTTAGTGGAACCTTCTTGAGGATGATCCAACAAAGATGCTAAACTATTTTTATTTATTTATTTTCTTTACCTTCCGATACAATATTAAATGGAAAGGATAAGAAAAGGATATCGAACCATTCTCCGTCTCTTGTTGTTTTAAATCTACTCTGATTGATCAAACTTAATGTAATGGCATGATTGGAAGGAAAGACAAAACACGCTTTATGTTGATTAGTTTTCCATCTACAGCCTCCTCTTTTCTGTCCTTTTAGTTCGAGTGGGAGCACTATCACTGGTACTGTATCACCTGTAGCATGCTAATCTTCAACAACAACAAAAAAGAAGAAAAAATGCCTTGTTTTCCTAAAAACAATTATGTCTGACACTGATCATATTGTTTTCGCAAAATAAGAAAAAGCTTTTTTTGCCATTTATATTTTGTAATAAAAAAGTTTAAAGTAAAAATTGTTTGATTCTGTTATTGTTCTGATTATAAATGTGTATTAATCAGTAATAAAAATACAACTTTATGTGACTGCTGTATGGTTCTTATGGATCGATTTATAAAAAGATCTTTCCCAAAGACAACTGACACTGAAAATTTAAATATCGGAAATATACAGATTTTCGCCCAGCTTGTGATCGGGTTAATGGACTTTACCAAGCATTTTTGTAGATCCATTAATGTTGAGGAGCCCATGACACGATGGAAGTTAATGTCCAAGTTGTTGAGACAGATAAAAGTGAGAGAGACAAGAAACAAACACAGAAGTTGAAATGGCCTCTGAGTTCTTTGTTTCTCTGACTCAGTCCAAACCGTGGGAGTGTTGGTGATTCTTTGGCCTAATCACCCTCTGTTTGTGTGTGTGTGTGTGTGAGAGTGTGTGTGTGTGTGTGTGTGTGTGTGTGTGTGTGTGTGACCATGTGTTGGTTTATCTCCCTCGTTACGCTTTGCAAATGCCATCACATATCATTTTGTAGATGCAAAGCAATGACTAACGCTTGTGTCATCATAACTTTAACTTTGTTATTCTGCAGAACTCAGAACTTTTGACTTGAGAAGATGTCACCTGACGTCAAAATCAGGTACCACAACGCCTTGTGGCTGAGATTACACTCGGTTACACTGCTGTTGCATGAAAACCTTCATCGTGGAGTTGGGAGAGATCAGAAAATGTTCATATGAGCCTTTTTTGGTAATTGTTTTATTTACATAACATCTGAAAATAATTATTAAACTAATGTTTACAGAAGCCCTTAGAAAGTATTGTGACAGAAAAAGCTATGTAAGGGCTTTAAATCCTGAAGACACACATGAAGGAAATCTTTTTACTTTCCCTCCCACAACACAGGATGCAGTGCTAAATCCACCGTATACATTCCTTTGAGCTATACATAGAGAGCTATATTTACACACAATACACTGGATTTCTTGACTGAACAAAAGGCAACAATGTGGGAGGATAAAATCTGGTCGGTCCTCTTGCATCTAGGCTGCTGCAGAAAGAAATACAGATGGGTAATGTATAGAAAGGTATGATTTCCATCCATCACTTCGGTGTTTTTTTCCATGTTCTCTTTGTCGTTTCGTGTGGCTAAATTCACTGTTGAGGTTTATTGGTAAACCTCCACTTCATGTCTCTGTTTCACATTTCGTCAGGATTGCAGCGAGGACCTCGAGTGGAGAACAAAAGAGGAATATCATGAGATCAGTGTCATCATCATCCCACGTCTAAACAATCACCAGTGACTCTCCAGCTGCTCGGCCTAGTGTCACACAAATGCAGCACGGAGGAGGAGGAGGATGCTGTTGTTGTTGTCGCCGCCTCTGACTGAGTAAGCACGGATGATGCTGTCGCCTTCCCGAGTGGATGAGGGGAATCCTTCACTCTCTGCAGTTCTCTTTTTACGTAAGTGGTCTTGTTAGAGAGGACTTCACACGTCCCCTCTGTACGACGCACAGTGAGCTGCTGCTGCAAATATTACAATTCATCAGCAGAGCAACAAGAACATCTATAAACAAACTCTGACACGCTTGCACTATTTCAGTTTGAGAGCCGTCAGTGTAGCGCTTTATTTTGCATTTTTAGAAACGTGTTTTGTCGGCACCACGTTCACTGAAACACTTTAAATACGTAGCATTTTATGACGTAAGAGCCGTTACAAGTAAAGCTATCATGTACTAAGAATTAATATTGTATATATATAGTATGTAGCATCTTATGACACGTCCACTTAACAACCAAGGATAACTATTTGAGGCAAAAGTGCAACAGTTAAAAATGAACAAGTATTATTGTTATGTAATTTCATATATATATATAAATATATATATATAGAAAAGTTAGATTTTATTTAGTTGTGAAACCTCTGTCTATGATCTTTGGTGTGCAATGTGAAAGGCCTCCATCATAAATGAGCAATCTGATGATGGAGAACACGGGATGCACTCGGAATCTCTAGGAAAGTATCATTAGTTAGTACTATTTAGGACTAAATATATCAATAAAATAATAAAAAGTGTGTCAAACTACATGTTATCAGTCAGGCTATGTTGTCTAATGTGTGTTGCTTACTGTGTATAAAACATACAAACGTTTGACGAGAGGGGCTTCAGGTACATCCTGTCCAGCTGATGGCAGGAAGCTGAATTACTAATGTGAGGAGTCTAACACACCACAAAGCCAAACTCTGATCAAACCATCAATGAAAGGGTTGACAGGGAGATTCAAACACCTTGTAAGTTCTGTTAATCTCTCAGACAATATTGAATCATTCTTACTCCGATTTTTGACCTTTAGAACAATTCAACTCTGGCCTTGACTTGTTGAAAACAACAAATATTTCTGTTTTGGTCTCAAAATCTGAGGCAGAAGTCAAGTTCGGACTCCTCTTCACCTTCTTCAGGATCTTCCTCTCCATCATCTCCCACACCTAAAGACACACACACACACACACACACACACACACACAATACATCAACGTTTTCTCACTTATAAGGTCAAGTCATAGACTTATATTTAACCCTTCACCAAAAAACGGCTTGAGTTACTTTATAAATTAAGATTTCTACAAAACATATGAAGAACTTATGAAAGTATAAACTACTAAACAGTGTAAACAGGTAAAACTGAAACGATTAATCAATTGATTTGGAAAGTACTTTTAGAAGCATGAAGTCATTTTTAATGCAAAAAACATTTCATGGTTCCTGCGAAGATTTTCTACTTTTATTTACATTTTTTTAATTTTTTAAAAATAATTAAGTCTTAATAGAGGAATTTGGACTGTTGGACAAATAAAGTATTGTGAATATGTCACTTTGGACTTTTCCGTAATTGTGACTGCAGAATTTCAACAATCAATCTATTAATCCAGAAAAAAAATCAGTATATAAATCCAGAATGAAAATAACCATTATTGCAACTCTATATAAAAGAGTTTAAAACTAGCTCCACCTCTTAAACAGTAACATTCTGCTTTTACATTGACGCATGTGGATAAATGCTCTAATATGATATTTAATAGTACAACAGTCCCAGGGTAAAGTTTTTCTGCGTCGAGTACTTCTATGTCAGTAACACATGTTGTACCACGGTGTGCGCCGGATGAGAAGTCGATGCTCCTCAGCATGTCAGCGAGGCCGTCGGTATCGATGACAAAGTGGCTCATATCCTCATAACCGAGCTCTGGACGCTCCATGGTAGAGGCCCTGGCTGTCACCGCCATCCTGCCAGCACAAACACACAAAGGTGTTCAAAGTACAACATTACGGTACTGCTTTAAGTTAAGGTACTGTTGAATGCTGTGATTAACCCTGTGTCAACATGACTGTTATATGTAATTAGAAAATGATGTTCGCCATAAACTTTGATGTTAAGTAAGACTTGCAGACAGCTGTCAGTTTGTGGCAACTTATTATTATATTATATAAATAAACTATGTGCACCTTTTACTGGGATCAAAGCTCTAGTTTGAATTTTACTGAAGCTTATGAAAACAAAAAAGGTGCAAGTATAAATGAAAACATTCAACTTCAATAATGCAAATTATTATTCATAACAAAAAGCTCCCATTCAGACATCACATTCATGTGGCCGTAACATGAGTTCACTCGTATTCTGTATTGTGAATTATGCCTGGGTAAAACACATTTATTCTCTGTAATGTTGGAACATTACGAATAAAGTCAGACTCATACATGGTCAGATATTGTAGGGTTCAGATTTAGATCCATTGAAGTGATCAACTGAAAGGGAAAGTTCACTTCAAAATCAGAAATATTTCTTTTCTCTTACCTGTACTGCTATTTATCAATCTAGATTGTTTTGGTGTTGGTTGCCTGTCAATGTCATAATATATTGTGCCATAAACTATTATAAAATGTTATTGTATAGTTTGTCATGAATAATGCCATAAAATAATCATAGTATAGTTTGTCATTAAATGTCATAGAAAAGTCATAGTTTAGTATTCCTAAAAACATTCATTAAAAAGTCATGAAATAGTATTTAATAAAAAGTGCTATTATAAAGTATGCCATTATATTTGATAAATAAAACTATATTTGAGTACAGTATGCCATTAAAATACTAAAAGTCATAGTTCGTATGTCATAAAAAGTCTCAGTATAAGGTCATGAAAATGTCACAGTAGTGTGTCATAACATTTCATAAAAACATATAGTTCAGTATGCGATTGAAATGTTATAAAAACCTTATAGTAAATTGTTTCACTAAAAAGTCAGACTATAGTATGTCATAAAGGATGTCATGGATAACTCTAAGTATATAGTTTGCCAATAAAACGTCATTAAAAGTCATAACATTTTACAATATTTCATAAAAAGTCACAATAGACTAGTATGCCATAGAAAAGTCAGAGCATATTACGTCAAAAAGTCATTACAATTTATATCTATTCTATAGTTTGCCATTTAAATGTTATAGTTTAGTTTGCCATTAACAATTTCATTAAAACGTCACATCCTTAAAATTTCATAAAAATTCATAATATATCATAAAAATAAAATGTCATAAAAACGTCATAATATAATATGTCATAAATGTTGTGATAACTCATAGCATAGTAATTAAAATGTTATAAAAAGTCAAATAATACAGTATGTCATTAACATTTCCAAAACCTTTTTTTAACAATACTATGAATTAATCATGACTTTTTTATGACTTATTTCGACATACTGTACCATGACCTTTTTTTGACTACAATATAACTTTTTAATAACTTCACTGATGATGATTATTCTTTTTCATTGATAGAGGTATTATGAATGGTGAGAAAGACTAGTATTTTAGAATGGAGAATTTTGAACATAAAATGTTGTGATTTTTTAGACATGTTATTTATGAAATTCTGAACTATATGATGCGTTGTATTTTAAACTGTTATAGATTTTTACATTTTCTAAATATATTCTACCTCCAACTGTCAAACGTACACTATTTACCTTCAGGACCTTGTATAATGTATCAACATTCAAATCTGACCACATTCACTAAATGCAGAGTCACAGATTCACCACAAACAGCATTCTACTTACTTTTCCAGTATGACTTTGGCGCTCTGTGAGGGTTTTAAGAAGACAGACAACAAAGAGACGGAGACTAAATGAATCACATTGTGCTTCAGTTGTCTGTGCCAACGACATCAGTCAGAGAGATCTGTCAGACACCTCACCGTGTTAAAATAAAAAAAACATGATTTTAAGAAATACTGCCGGCTGCCAGAACGGCCTCATGGTGTTTTACTGCCCTGCTGCCACTAACTCTATCTCCTTTAACAGCTGCTCTGGCAGAGGATGTGGCATAAAACAGTGACACTTGAGGCTCATACTTTCTCTCACACAGCAGTGACGCAGACACGTTGCATCAGAAATAAGGATGCAACGTAACAATCTGCTTCAGAGACGAGTGAGTCCGCTGTCAAGATGAACTCACTTTTGAACTTTTGTTTCACCCAACCCTCAAATTACACCAAAAGCTCGTTTTTGTTTTTGCATCCCGTATAGTGATAAACATCTACTGCATGAAGCTGTACCAGGCCTGGATTTAAAGTAATAGAAAATACACACTTTGTACAATTTTGACAATTTGATTTAGGATTTGCACAATGAGTGAGGTGATTTTGGATATGCCTCCTCTCATCAGCGTAGAACAGCTTTTGAAACAGCATTTGGTCCATCGGACAATAACACGGGAACCCCAATTAATAATCTGGTCGGTTACTTGCATAAGAAAACAGATGTATCGGGTTTATTTTCTGCTTTTAATCTTATAAATTAAAGAATAATTTCATGTCTTCGGGCTTCATTCAAAAGTTTGGAAAGTTTGAACTTGACATAATCAATCTGTGATCTTTTGCTGAAGCTGAATATGCAAACTGCAATCGAATACATCAAGACAAAAGGTGGATTCTACTGGACAGCTAGTGATGTTCAAGACATGCACTTGTCATGAATATGATTTGGTTAAAAAAATATTGGCTTTCATAACTTTTTTTCTATTCCCTCCTGTCATGCAATTCATGTCCTGAATCCTGATTGGTTAGAATCCAACATATCCCACCGTACATCAGTAAAATGTATTAATTCAGCTGATTTCACTTAATGGTCAAAATGCTGTTTCATACGAGCTTTCTGCAGAGTAATAAAACTCAATTATGTTTTGGTGTATTGTTCTTGGCCTAAAAATAATGTAAGGATAAAGAGTCTTAAAAAACATTGACATTAACCTTTAAAGTACTTATATCTCCTACTTGGATGATTCGGATCAGTGGGTCACTAAAACCCCCCAAAATTCTCAGGAAAAACAAGGAAAACAAATGACACTGCCCGACCGATCATAGAACTCAACCCTCCAGCTGATCCGAAGCCTCACCAACCTGTATAAACAAAGACATGTGCGGCTCTTCCATCGACCGAATGGCCGACTCCACCAGCGTCACCGCGGCCTCCAGCTGATCACTGTGCCGGCCGATGAGAGATCGAACACGTTTGAGTTTATCGTCCTGTTCTCTGGTGATGAGCCCCACCAGCTCCTGCTTCCGCTCGTCCAAGACGGCCACCAGGCCGTCGAGGCGGTCGGCCAGCTGTTCTCTCCGTCGCTGACTGTTCTCCTGAGGAGAGAAAGAAGATTATGATACAATTATAATACAGTATAAATACACTTTGCCGTCTGCTCGGGGACTAGTTTGAATGTAGGCCAACTTTAACTGAGCACTGTATGTTTCTATTATAGGATGAAGTTGTATTTATCCAGAGGGAAACTACTGTGCAGCAGCTTCAGTACAATGTGGGAAGAGTGAAAAGATAACAATAACAATACCAATATACTAATATACAAATAAAAATATACGATATCGGCCTATACAATGTCAAAATCAGGTTTACAGTATGGATCATAAAAATATGTAGAGAAATATAAAACTCAGCACTCTTTATTGGCTGATACATGAACAACAGGCTATTACATAACCAAGTGTCTATAGGAAAATAACAACTCAAGAAGAAGGTAAAAAAGGGTTTTTGTGTGTGTGTGTGTGTGTGTGTGTGTGTGTCTAACCTCTACAGTGCGGCAGATTTCTTCCATCTGAGTGATGACTGCCTGGACGTGGTCGTTACTGGCGACCAGGATCGCGATGCCGTCGCTCAGCTCCGTCTGCAAACATCCAGAACAGAACTGACGTTAATTTAAAGGATTCACATCAACAATAATAATGTTCACGTCATATTTTACTCTCACTTTTTAACCATGTGTGTTATCTTGTATATGTTTACTGTATATTTTGCTCATTTTGGTATATTTAAATCTCATTTAGCTCTAATAATTTCTTGTATCTGCATTGTGCACTGCCTGGGATTTTGACGAAACACCATTTCACAATACGTACTTGTCTGTATACAGTAAGTGACAAATAAAATCTGGGTTATTCCAATCACATGTCTGAATAACTTTGCAGCATTCCTCGAACAACAATACCAGAAAAGATTTTGGTTTTTATCCACCAATGAACACCGCCTTCAACCAATCAGCATTTCTTTGTTTGTTAGTATATGTTCTTCTATGCAGATCAGGACGCTCTTTTAAAATCCCTGAACATTTTCTGTTGTCAAAAAACACACATTTAGAGGATCGTGTGCAGTGCTGGCGGAGGAATGCAGAACGCTCTATAAGCCTGTCGCCAACCAACCAAAGCACAACAACATGAGTCACCAGCGTGCATCTGTTTAGAGCATCACGTGACATCGTGCACATTTGTACAGTTCGCTCCAGCCTCTGTACAGTGTTAGTGTAACAAACATTCCCCTACGTAGGCCGACGATAAATCACCGACTTTTCGTTTGTCCGATTGACCTTTTGCATGAAGATGGAGCATCAACAACTTTCCTCAAAACCTCATCTGAATTTCAGATGAGTGAATCAGCGACAGAGGGGGAGATGGAGAGGCCGGCACCAAAATGTCAACAAAGCCAACTGCTCATTAACGCGCCTGGACTGCTGCACTCCGTCTTCGCGTGTCCACAAATGAGCAAATTAAGGTTTTTTTCCGTGTGATATATTTGATGTAAAACAATATCTGGTGTCACGGTAGCTGACCTTTAGATGTCTGGAAGATAACCAGGCGTGTCCTGGTTTCAGTGGCTACATACAGTATTGATTTGCATTGGGTGGCAGGTCAGTGTGTGACTTAGTTTGCCGTATTGGAAAGATTTAAAAATAGAAACAGAAAGAAGTATCTAAGATAAAGGCCACCAAGAGTTGGGACATTTGTAAACCCTCTTTATTGGTGCTTTGACCTTTTAAACGAGCTTCGGCTTCAGTTGGAAATAAAAACCTTAAGAAGCTGCTTATTTCCAACACACACGAGAGTCATGAGATCCGTCTGAATGAAGAACGAAGGGAAGTGTCGTAGTAGCGTAGTAGTAAAGTGAAAATGACACCTCGTTGTAACGAATGTAAAGTTGGTTCTTCACCTTCTGCCGCATGTAAACGCTGCCGAGCGGTGCGACGTCGCAGTCTCTGTGTTTTCCGAACACTTTGCACATGGAGCAGGTCGGCGTCTCACAGGACAGGCAGTAGATGTTGATCTTCTCCTCTTCGTGTTCTTCACACAACAGCTGCTGCTGCTGCTGCTGCTGCTCCGGCTTTATGCTCCCAAGCCTGGAGGGGGACACAGAGTAGAAATGGATCCTCAAACGTTCACGCACTGCTTTATTTATTTATTTATATTCTCAACTCGTGTGGAAATAACCAAAACCTGTTCTGAGTTTGTGTGTCCAATGTAGGCTCACATCATTCATAGAAAGAAGCTGACTGAGAGCATTTTCAGGGCCACATCATCATGAGACAAACATCAGATTACATACTTTTTAATTCCAACTGTTATTTTGGATTTCATTGTCGTAACTATGAGGGGCAGACATAAACCTTGAAGCACTTTGATTTTTAGCACTTTTAATAGTAAACATCCAAAGGATGTAATAACTTCTATGTTCTGCGTGTTGTTTTTTTAACGTCATTGTCTGTCTCTAAGATTTGTTAGTTCTGCCAGTGTGCAATCTATATTATTCCCTCAATGCCAGACATTTAATTATCACACAAGCAAAAATAAACAACTAGAACAACACACAAGTTGGCCTTTGAAGCCCTCCCATGGAGGTCACAGTGGTGCAGGTGGGCAGTTAGTAAGCATCGGCACTTTGGAGCATCCTAAAAAGAAAAAACCCCCCCCCAATAAAGGGTTCTTTGTACTCTGACGTAGGTGTCTCTAACCGAAATGATGATTAAGTAATGATAAATCTTTCCACACATGAGAAACTACAAGTTACAAAACATTTGTGAACAATCACGTCTATTTGAGCCCACACAGATAACGAGGGGACTCCTGTCCTCCTGTCCTCCTGCCTCTAATGAGCGCCAACAGTGACTCACGCTTCAGCTTCTATTTTGGAGTGAGGGAGACTTAAATATCAGCGTAGAGTTGTAGTTAGTGTGCACGCTTACAAAACAAGGGCAGATGGGCGGAAGAGGAGGACGTTTGACTTTAACACCAAGTTGTAAAGTAGCAATAGACTTCAGACAGTAAAATATGTTCGGTAAGCATTATCATTTAGAAGTTCTGAGATCAATTATGTTACATAAAATTGTCATCTCGTTGTCTATTTTGGTTTTTATCCTGCACTTTAAAATCTCTAACTTAAAAAAACAACAGTGTCTCTGCCTCTGAACAGTGAAAGCATGAATAGTCACAGTTTCAAATGATGTGTATGAACTCATTTGTTCCATAGTTTATGCATTTTTTTCTTCTTCTTGAGTTTCATTGACAGTCTTTTCCTTCCTAATATGTTTTCCGTGCACACACACACGTCACATATTGAACTAGTCGTCAACAACACATAAAAAATAAAAATGGTATTTATCACCTGAGGGGTAATACACAAAATCAAGAGGGTGCATATGTTTCAAAACTGGCTAAAAATATTTGAACTGTTGTGCGAGTGAAGCCTGATTTGACATCTGGCTCTATCACATCTTACATTATTGTTGGCTAATTTATTACATTATGTTTTTGTATTATTTCACCAGTCTGGTTTTATTTCCCTCATTGCAGTCCTGAAATGTTTAAGCAAGAACCAGTTTGCTTTTATCCGTCTCAAAGTCTCAAACTTTAGTCTGCAATGAAAACCACAAACGTCCATCAGTGTGGATGGATCAACTCTGCACTGCTTGCAAACAATGGCAACAGTCAGAGAGGGGAGGCCTGGCAGTAACAGAATACAATACTGCTCTCTGTTGGTGGTCACTCATGATTACAATAACATGCCGTCTCACTTCAGATTCTATATAAAGACCTTTCTCTGTGAAACCTGTCTGGAAGATATGACGTAGGCTAAATACAGACAGAAGAAAACAGCTGATTTAAGGGTATTTTAAAGTGATGAAGATTGTAAATAATGATTAAAATGGTTCGGCTAATTGTTGACAAATACTTTAACTTTATAAAGCATTCTTAGATCTGCTTACAACTACATTACAGTGTGTTATAACCCATTTATTAAATGTCTATAGTGCTTATGAATGTTAAAAACTCACACACACTCACCTGGAGGACTCCTGCTGTCTGTAGATGTCGAGGATGTTCTCCACCAGCAGGTTCCTCTGCAGACCGTAGACCCCGTGGCGGTCCAGCACCACCTCATGGCGGCACGATGGACAGCGAAAGCGAGCGCCGCTGGAAGCCATGCTGGAGGAGCCGCGGGACTGCCACAGAGGGTTAGCCGACTGGAGCAAGAGAAGGGAAGAAGTATAAGTAACAAAGTCTAGAAAACAGAATGCAAGTATTATTATTCTATACCATGTCTTACTCACATATATCAATATTGTCTTTATCGTCCCATGAGGGGATTCTCCTGCAGGTTAATGTCTTACAAGAAAAACATGCGAATAAACAAATGAAATATAGTAGACATATCGTGTTTGTTATGGTGTATTTTTTTTTGCAATATTTTGACAGAAAATATCAGTTTGGAACTCACTGAGCATGTGGACGGAGAGCTAGGAAACATTATATGGCAGCAGTGGTTTGAGACGTTTCTATGGGACATTTGAATCATTTCATTTGCTGTGAAACTAGTTTCCTGTTGGAGTCCGTACTTGTACTAGCTTGTATGACCAAGATAAGTTTGCACATGTGCTATCCACGTGCTATGGAGCAAGCTACCCCATTGTTAGGGCTGAGTGAGGTGGTGGAAAGCAACTCATTTACTGTACTACAATTCTGAGGTATTTGTGCTTAAATATTTTCATTTTAGGCTACTTTTTACCTCTACTCCACTACAGTTCTTAGAGGAATATTGTACTTTTTACTCCTCTACATTATCCCACAGCTATAAATACTTATTACTTTTCAGATTAAGATTTAAGATGATAGTTTAGAGTGTCTTATAAAATACGATGGAGTGATGTATTATTGAATAACCAGTACTGTATAAAGTACCTCAAATGTGCTACACACTGATGAAGTACAACATTAAGTAATGTCATCAAGTACTATTAGTTAAGTAACATTTTGAATGCCGTACTTGTAGACTATGGTATTTCTACTTCTACATGGGTAAAAGATCTGAATACTTCTTCCACAACTGGGTGAGTGTTTGAGTGTTAACGAATCAAAACACCACCTGAATTTGAAATAACGATGGCTGCTCGAAAATAAGAACTGTGTTGGGATGAAAAACGAACAACCCTTTAAGGACACACTCACCTGGAAGATGTCGTTGGCACACTTGCGGCAGAGGTTGTGCTGGCAGGGCAGGATGACCACGGGTTTGGAGAACATCTCTAGGCAGACCGGGCAGATCAGCTGCTTCTCCAGGTTCTCCATGGTGGCTCCTCTGCCGGCGCCGGGCCCAGAACTGCCTGCTGATGGAGGCCTGAGAGCAAAGTTCATCACCTCCAGGGAGCGGTGAGTAAAACGTCCAAAAAGACAGAAGAAGGTAACAAGCAGAGGAACAAAAAGGTGAGGGGGATATCCTAGATGTTGGTTTTGTTGGTGTTTTTAGTCATATTGTCCCTCTGTCTTCTTTTCTAGCTCTTACAACGTCTCTTTCCCCCGTTGTCTATCCCTTTACCCCCCCTGCCAGCCTGTCTAACCCCCATGTAAAGACCCTCCCACGCCCCCCTGTCTCCGTCCCACAGCAGCTGGACTGGTAGCTATTTTTAGATCCTCGGTTTGTTCTGGCTTGGGTTACTGTCTAAACTGCGTTCCAGCCGGACCGTTGGAAATTTCGGGCGTGGCAGAAGATCAGGACAGTGGTTGGAACCACCATGGTTCAAATGATGTTTGTATGAAGTCTGATACTTGAGAGGGGATCCCTGTGACATAATGCAACCTCTGGCTTCCATGCTCATTAGCACTTTGGCGTAAACAGCTAGCTCCATTTCTCAACTTAGACTTCTGTTTATCGCCACTGTGGCTGAATGGATTTTTACTATTTAAACTGCGTTTGAAAAGTCCACGTCCCTGCATTCATTTGCAATTTGAACTGCAAAGATAGCCCTTACTTATCTCTTAATATCTTACTTATCAATGTTACTTTACATCAATAACATAGGACATTGTGAACATATGCAAGGTTAGCTGAACAAAATGTGTAAAAAAAATCCCATTGGTTTTTTGTGAAGGAGACCATTGCCATGCTAACTTAGGGGGCTGGACTAGCAAAATACGTGGTCTCTGCAGCACTCTATAGGCCATTCACAGCAAAATGGTCGTGATTATGATTGAGGAATTGCTAACGGCATGAACAGCGCAAACAACGGCAACAGTGCTAACAGAGCTAACAGAGGGGAGTATATATATATTGTTATTATATATTATTCTGGAATGGGTCACTATGAATCAGTACTTTTGTACTTTAAGAATTTTTGATGCTTTGATTTTTTTACTTTGAGTAAAACGTACACTTACTGAAGTAAAATGACTTGTAACTTAATATTTCCTCAAGTAAAGTAAGTAAGCTAAGTAAATACTTCTTACACCACTTAATATTTCTAATGCTCTGTTGGTAATCCCGTACATACTTGTGGTGAAACAATAGTCCAGCAAAATAAACAACTTATCAAAGCTTGGGGCTTGATTATTGCAATCTATTCGTCTCTTTTCCTAATCTTTAGGACCCAGCGGGACGCGCTATATTTAAAACGTGACGTGCGTTTGTTCGAGTCATCAAGCCAGAAGCAGCAGTGTGAAAATAAAACGGAGAAAGTGAGCTCGTTGGTAACTAGATCCTAATCTAAAGCTGAATGGAAACGCATGCCAGGCTGGAGGTCTGGAAACAAACACGGCTCATAGGAAACAGTGTTCAGTTAACTTTACAAAATATAAAAAATATTTTAGATTTTAATTTAAAATTGAAATAAATAACATTAATAAATGACCTAAAAAGTACTCTCAGGCTGAATAATAATAGAACAGTTCTGGTGCTATTATCATTTTTTTCATTCAAGTGTAGAGTAAAATAAACATACTCGATGACAGACCTAATGAATGGTTTAATGACAGAATGGATTCATTAAATAATGCATTTTTTTGGGGAGTAATAAAATAGAAGTAATGAAATTGAATCTTATTGAAACAAAAAGTGAGATTAAGGTCAACCTAGACGAATAGGTCAATAACACAGTCATTTTGTAATTAATTTGAATTACATCTGTCCCATCCGGATTATTGAAGTAAAACGTCCTCCACAATATGACCCAGAGACCCTTTCTCCTCCCGGCTCTGCCCTCTGACCTTTGTCAGCTTCCTGAGGAGCGAGTAGATAGCAGTGAGGTCAGTTCCTAGCGGCCAAATCCACAAGGTATTTCCTAATCCACCGACTGGAGTCGGCTAAATAGACTAAGCTATTAATGGGATTACTAGACTATTTATAGGCCCGGGGGTGGAGGGCTGCTGCAGAGTAAACTAGACATACAAACACACAGCTATTCATGCATCTCTACTACCAGCTTCTTTTAAATTACTTTTACAGTTTTAGGTAATCCTTATGCATCAGTGTGCAAAGACTTTGTTCTATATTTTTCTAATTATCAACAAATCCCATGAAGAGACCAAAAGCATCAATGAATCTTCCAAAAACTATTTTTTCCCTCTTTGTCATAGAGCTCCATTGTTGTCCAAAAACTATTAAAAACACATCAATGAGCCACACTGTTGTACTATGTGACATGTTCCTTCATTACCAGGAACACACACACACACACACACACACACACACACACACCTTCCTGCTGCCCCAAAAACGTACTAGAGCACAAACTGTGGATTAATTTGCCGCTATAAATAGTCCCCAACATATACACGACTTCCTCCTGTTTGAGTAACATTTGCTAACTGCATTGACCCGCTGTGATAAGAAATGACTGAGCTTTAAAAAAAAATAAAGTTTGACAAGATTTTACATGCAAATGAAAATAAATGACAAACTAAGCGACAAGTTATAAAATCCCTCTTTTTTATTTAGTTGAATTTCATATTAAGTCATTTACAGATGGTCCACACGGAACAACAGTCAGTGCCCCCCCCCCAAAAACAAACCCCAACCCGTCATTGATAAAATGTCTTCGTCATGTTCAATTTAATATTTTCTCGTCACTCTGAAGAGAAATAGTCATTTTGGTAGATTGTCCCACTTGTCAGTCGAGTAATGACAACACAGATCCAAACTATATATACACAGAACGTTAGCTCCATGCTGACTGTTTGTAGCATTCACTTGCATCACCAAACACAGAGCGTATGCTATCAGGTTAGCACAAAGCATTGAACCCAGGACTGAAAGTAGACACACCAATTCATTTTAGAGTTGAGCAACAAGTTGACCCCCCCCCCCACCACCACCAACACCCCCTTTAGTAATATGACATTTAAGTTATGGTATTACTATGTGACAAATAAAAGATAAAAACTTAAAAATATATGTACACTGTTAAAACAGACATTAATTCATTAAAGGTATCACAATAAGGAATTTTGTCAGCAAGTTTACGGTTTTACGAGTCATTTACAACAATTACAAAAATAATAAATAATGTCTTCTGTCAGCGCTCCGTGGCCTCATTGATTTGAGAAGATGTGAAGAACTTGAACACTTGGAGCTGCAGCTTTGATGGTTTCATGCGATACAAGACAGAGCCAAAATGAAGCGATGGAGGTACAGCATTAGTCCGAGCTGGTTTATGAACATTTTGTCACCAAAATGAAAATGTTTTCGGTTGCTGGTTCCACATGTAGGTCTACATTATTGTATTGCAGTTCAGCAGGCAATATTAATATTGAGGAGTTTCAGCAGCTGAGTTTGACACACAGACACACTCTGGCTTTGATTTATTGTGGGAGAAAATCAAAATACTCATAATTTCACCCTGCCACCGGAAAGAGAGAACATTTAGTTTAAAGATGTACCGACAAGCAAACAGTACTCCGCACGAGACAATTCTCAACAGCACATCAACTTATCGACCAAAGTTAACAATCTCTGAATGTTATTAATAAAGACAAAAATCTCAAACAACTCCTTTCAAAATACCCTAAAATAGGAAGATTGTTTTCTCATCCATTTTTAACTTTAGATATGTTTACATGAGACTGTTTGTGTGACTCGTGGTGCGCTCCAGACAATGAAACAAAGTTAGAAAGGTTGCAGACAGCAAGACAGCGATGAGGAATCAAAAATAATATTCCCCATGTTCCAGAAGTAAAGTACGTTCAATCTATCAAAGCACCCGTGTGGTGAGTAAATAAATATGAAACTTTGAGCTCAAAGTTGCAATTAATGCATGTATTAACTAGAGTAAACGTTACGCAACACCATTCACATGATATTGACTGTTAGACATGAACAGTATGGAGGAACACAGCCATGATGAACTGATTAGACTCAATAATATAAACAGGTTTTGGGTTATTAAGACTTAACGCCTCTCTCAGTAGCCCTATGTACAGATCCGTAACAATACAAGTACCGGGCTGCAACAACTTCAATCAGATTAATCATTTGTCAAGTAAAGATATGAAGACGTCACCTCGGGGCTCAGGGAAACCTTGGTGGCCAATTTTCTGACTTTACATAAACAAAAGTGATGAATCATGAAAAGTGATTGTTGGCTGCAGCTAGGGATGGGATATAGATTTATATCGCAGATCGGAATAAAATAAAATACACAAATTGATCGTGGTGTAGAAGTGAAAATCATGAGCCTGATTATGGAAATATATATATATAAGAATTATTAGGTAAGAAAGAACAGACTCACACAATGTTGCTATTATTTGTATCTTTTATTTATCCGTTATTCATGCAGCGGTACCTTATGATTACCGTATCTAAGGTTGGTTTTTTTCTTTCACTAAAAATATTTGCTTCTTGACAAGATCCAAGGTAAAGTGATTCCAGTATGTTTTAGTGTCGTTTTTAAGAGTTTTAAACATATCGTGATGATTATCGGGATGATATTGTGAATCTGGATTTTTTTTTTTTTTTTGGCCAGGATAATCTAGACATTAAATCTCCACACCGTCCCACATCTAGCTGCAGCACCAACGGTGACCATGCAGATGAAACCGCTCTGAAAACGTCCCCGTGACTGATGGGCGACGCTCCTTTCTAACTAGACCTAAATCCAAGAGGAACATGTCACATCAAAGTGAGATAAAACACAACGTGTCAAGTGTAAACAAAAGAGTGTTAGTGTAGAAGACTTTATGCAGGATCCTCTGTGGCGGCTATTGTCGCCGTGCAGCTGAAACAACACAGATCCAGATTCACTAAAGGTTTGCACAGAGAGGATGAATAAGCAGATGAGACAGCCATGCCTGAAGAT